TTTCCCTACGGGCTACGGTGAAATAAGAACAATAAGATATGCCAAAACCTGTCTTTAAACATCGCAGGATGTTACAAGGGGCAGGAGACGATATCACGGCTCATAACATACGACGGAATCAAGCAGAAATTATGTGGACTTCGGCTCTCTGCGCATGCAGAACCCGGGAGCTCCATTACGCTCGACGACGGAAAAAAGGTATTAATGTTATTAGTTTTCTGTTAGGCTTTCAGTTAGGAGTTAGTTACTGAGCTAACAGACTCTTGAGTTGTATGTAAAGCAGTTTCCATCTGTTTCTCTTGTTTTGTCGCCATCCAAACAGCTTCTCGTTTAGATCTGATAACTGGTGTTATCTATCGTTCTCCTGATAAACTCTATAAATTATTGCAGGTGGGGAAGGTGACGAGCTGTACATCGGGAAGGCAGGAGTCGGAATATTTTGGATTAGGGTACGTCAAGAAACAAGCGGCGTGGACGGGAAACAGGTTGCTTGTGGGCGAGAACATCGTCGGGACAATAGTTGAAGTCCCATATCTATCTCGGCAAAGCCCTCCGTTCGACAAATCGAGTTCTTCACTAGGAGGAGAGCGATAGCAGGCGGAAAATCTCGGACAGAAAAATCTTCCGACAGAACTAAATCACGGATCATGCATATGTTTGGTTCAATAGTTATTGAAAATCGTCAATAACTTCAAAGGGAACATGATATCGAAAATTTATGGATATGTATTTCTCGTAATCGCAATGATGAATAATCAGGAATAGGACAACTGCACTATTGAAATGGTACGAGTAGCTTTCCTGTTTTTGGTACATGGTCTTGAATTCGTTGTTCGAATTTTGGATATTTACGGAATATAAATAATTAACATATGAAAAATAATATTTCTCAATTGATTAATCATAAGGATTATATTTAATCTAAGGGGGTGATTTGTTGTGTGGTCACCACACGTAAACGAAGCATTTGCTATGCATAGGTTACATGGTGATTAAAAAACTGATCATTTGAATCGTAGTCACCTGCAATCGCAATCAAAAGATTTCTAATCGTAAGTACATAACTTTGTGTTTCGGTAACTTGTAAAAATATTAATATATATCTTATTGATGATTTTGTTTAGTGTTTGATTAGATTATTTTTTCGTATTAAGATTTAGTAAAAAATTACAATAATATAATGTGATTATAGAATTTTTAGGTTTAATAATAATTATTTTTAATAATTTTTATAATAAAATTATATTTTTATTTTTTAAAAAAAATTATTCATTTGTTAAATATTCTAATTTTGTTCTACATATAGGATTTAGTGAATCCTGAAAATCATTCTGTAATCGATTACTTGAGAGCGTGTCATTAGAAACGATTTGGAAGTGTTGCAGATTCCGAAAGAGTTGACCCGAGATCGAAATGAGTGGAGAAGAAGGATTCATGCGACCGATCGAAAATGAAGAGGCCATGTTGTTATTGTTGTTGTTGTGTCTCTATTAAATTTTCATTGTTGACTATTTTATAGATATATAATGTTTATATTCAAAAGGGGACGGATATATAAAATTCTTATTCAACATGGTTTCAAACTTGAAGAAGATTTTGCTCTTGCTCTTGTTCACCCATCGTGTGAAGAGAATTGAGAGGCCTTGCAAAAGCAATTGGCCTCCTTTTCTTCAGAGACATGGAGAGAGTTCTATAAGCATTCTATGTCCCTACGAAACATACTATTCAACAATATCAGAGTCCTCTTCATAATATAATGAAGTATTTGCGTGTCAAATTTCTAATATACAAGTTTCATATCCAACATGTTAAATTCATAACGTTTTGTAATAAAAACAATGTCTCTTGTATCAATTGTTTTCTCAATTTCTTATCGTTGTCTCGAAAGGTAATATCTCAATCCCATATGAGATTATATTGAACTATGATGATATTATATTGAACTCGGACTAGGATTGCTTCTTATCGAACAAGAGACATTCTTTCTCGTAAGGGAGACACTCTTGAGGGAATCAACGGCGTGAGATAACTGGAACTCGTTCGTTAAGATGTGAGCCTCGTCCAAGGAGATGAAACTCTCATCTAGACAACGATAAACGTCTTGCGTTGAAAAACGAATTTCCTCCAATTCAATCTTTTGTTTTAATTGAATGATATTTATATCGATGGACGAATAGAATGTCGTCATGGTTCATTCCAAAATGCATTTTATTACAAAATAAGGAGTAAGAATATTATTCACATTTTTCAAGCACATCTCCCGGACATGATTATCGATTTCTCTGACAAAGTTCCAGACATGTTGCGGTATTCCTGGAACGGTCAAGTTGCAGCCGAGAATGGGGCACGGAATTTAGGTAAGAGATAAACTCTCGTTCAAACAGGAAAATCGAAGGTTTGACTTGACGTGAAGGTACACAATAATGAAGCCATATCCTCGCGCAAAACCCTTGATTGTCCTGTGGAGCCACCAGAAGAGATTATCATTGTCTTCACACAAGGATATATCTGAACCCAGAATTGATTTCACATTTCACTCGGAAATCTTGATAATAAACTACAAATATTCATCTGAAACAATCTTCCATTCTGCCAAAAACCCTAAAAAGAGAAAGAAACTCTTCTTGGGTTATCACAAGTAGAGAGAAGCTGCAAAAACAATGTCTCTCTTGATCATAGAAACTGCATCTTCGAACTTGGTCTCGAGCTCTGTTTCTCCAATGGATTTTGCAGCTACTATGAGCTGCTGAAGAACTTCCTCCAGTCTCCTGATTGCCCTTATCAAGCTCCCTTCGAAAACGTGAGCCATCTCCATGATCTCGTAGAACTTCGACCCTCTCGCCCACGCGTACACCACTTCCATTATGTCGGGTCTGAACGAGTTCACAAAACTCTCCACTTCGATCTGGACCTGCCACATGTCCGAGCAGAAAGAAAACGGCAAGATGACAATGAGTTTGGCAGTGGATGGATTGTTCTTCCGTCACTAATGGGAAAAGGGACGAGAGAGAAGTAAAGAACCTTGCAGTCGAGCTGAACCTTGGCAACCCGTCTAGCGGTTTCTTGTAATTGGATGAAGAGCAAGTCGAGTTCTTCCCGTGGTTTAGCGGCGTCGGGAAGTCGCTCTTGCCACACGAAACAAGAGAGAAGAGAAACCAACTCTTCTACCTTTATTTCTTTGAAAACTCCGCTGAACATGAGCTCTGTTAATGTCAATTCTTCTGCACTACTGATTTCACAGGCAACCTTCCCCTTCAACTCTACAACGTTATCACTTGTGACGTATCTGGCATAAAAAAGGGTGATAATTTCATACTAAAAATCCAGAAACAGGACAGACAAGATGATTGATTTGGCTGTATCTGAATGTAGAAAGTCGAGGCGATACGGTCACATCCAAAGAATATGCTTACCCGAGTCTCCGCAAAACACGTTTTCTGGCCTTAAGTTCATCCTTAAACGCCAACGTCGTTGAGGATCTTACAGTTTTTTTCAGTGATTTAATCTTTGCATTTAGCTCTTCTTTCTTGTGTAGAACTTTCAGCTTTAGTTCAATCAGAGGAGATTCTGCAATTTTGTGTTTCTCAAATAGGTTTTCTAGAGCCTCCAGACGACGGATCGCCTTCTTGTATGAGCTGCTCCGAACCTAAAAAGGCAAGTTTCTGATTATCTCCGAGACAAAAAACATAGTCCAAAGCGGAAAAAAGATATGAAAGAGCTCGGAATATACCTTCATGTCTGCTTCGGGATCAAGGAGTAATCCATGGGGATGTCTAGAAAGTAATGTAGAAACCTTCTTCAGAGCATTCTCTCGAGCTTCCAGTGGCAAAAGATCTGCTGGTATATTCATGATTGCACTACTCATACTCTTAATCTGAACGAAGAACAAACAATACATGAGTTCCCTAACTTCCCTTAAGAGACAGCACCATTTTCTCTTAGGCTTTAAAGTGAATACTAGAACAGACATTGCAACAAAGACATCAAATAATCAGGCCATCTACACAGGATATCATCAGGATAACTAGATAGGAACTAGAATTAAGTTGTGAGAACGGCGGTTCGGTATTTTTTTTCTTTCTTCCAGAAAAAATAGCATATCTTCTGGATGGAATGACTCTATCTTTTATATTGCAAATTAGATGTTTGTAAAAAAATTGCAGCAGTTGAAAATTGGCCTTGTGAAAAAAAAAAGTCGGGTCTAGACCCGCACCATAGTTATTTTTGGTTATGTAAACGATACAACACAGGAACTTGAAACCGGAAAAAGGGGGAATTAACAAACAATAAGACAGCCATATTACCTGAGATAAGGGAACAGATACGATAGCAGGCTCTCCTCGCTCCTTGAGTGGCACAATCTTAAATTTCTTCTTCCCGACTTCATCTTTGCTAATTACACATCTAGTCAGAACATCTACCGTGTAATTTGCATCTTCTGGTCTTATATTCGCATCATCTGGAAGGATAAAAAACCCACAACAAAGTCTAATGGTACGATGCATGCTGAAAGAGAACTATATTTAACTTAAGAAGTCCTTATATATCTTTTACCTTCACAGGAGCTTTTGACTTTGGTAAATTTCAATATCACTCCCCATGAATCCTTGTCTTCAGCAGAGAAAGATGGTTGCTCTTCATCATCGCTGGTGCAATAAATACACACAGCCCTATTAGGCCGCAAAAAGGGTAAACAATGCTTTGGGGAAAACACGATATCACGGATTTCCTTCTTCAGACTCTTATATTGTTGGATTAGATTATAGTAATTCTTTAAGCTTTCTTCTTCTTCTATAATCATAGAATCTCTCTCTTCCTCAAGGACCTTCACTTGTTTCTGTAAAGACCATGGTCCTTATTAACATCAAAAGCAATCAAATAACATATATTCAACCAATCTAGAATGTTTGCATTCAGAAACTATACCTCAAGGTCAGGAATAGCACGGTCAGTCTGGAACTGGAAGAAAGAATTCCGAAGCAGATTCTCAGGATCACCATCTTCAGACCGCAATTGATTAAGAAGCATGTTATAGCTCAAGTGGAAGGCACTGAAAAAAAAGGAAAATAATCATCAACACATATGTCAAATATTCAAAACTCTTCAAGTAACATCCACTAAATCAACATGTCGACGAGTAACATTCATTCCACTGAATCGACTCAATATCTATGAGTAATATTCAACAGTTTTGACATTAACAGAATCAAGTTAACCTTTGTCCATGAACTCCAAGGGGACATTATGAATACCTTTAACACTTACACAGTATATTACCTGTTTAAAGAATCAGCACTTCCTTTGAGCATTGATTTAGCAATAGCAGGTTCCATCTTCTCATCAACCATGAGGATACAGATACCACGCTTGTCAATACCTCGACGCCCGGCACGACCACTCATTTGTATGTACTCTCCACTAGATAACCATCGGAACTTGTCTCCATCAAACTTACGCACATTTGTAAATACAACTGTTTTTGCAGGCATGTTCAATCCAATACTGAAAGTCTCTGTTGCAAACAAACACTGAAAGACGATAAGTCAGACTTATGAAACAGAAAGAAAACCAGGAAGAGTAAACAAAAAGCCAGAATGGGGGGAAAACTTGAGAAAGAAAATCACTGATGCATTTCTAAGAAGAAATGAACACACGGAAGGTTTGAAAATGCACGTAACCAGTTAGAGTTCGACAAATTTACAATACGTGTCTTCAACTTATTAATATAGGATAAAGAAAATTAATTTCATGCCAAAAGTTACAGTAGCCACTAAGTTTGAAACATGACCTTTAGAAACTTAGTATTAGACCAACAACAACACAATGAACTTCATATGGGATAATCATAAGAAGTCAAGACGAATAGTGTAGATAACCTTGCCAGGTCCAACAGAGATTAAAGAACCAAGGAAACAACACAATGAATCCAACCAGATCTAGAAGATATCAAGAACAAAAAAACAATTGTAGCTATTTAATCTACCTTTATAAGACCTTCTTGAAATAATATCTCAATTACTTCTTTCAAAATTGGAAGCAAACCAGAATGGTGCACACCTACACCGCGTTTTAAGATCGGTAAAATATTAACAACCTGCAATCAATGAAAGACAGGAATCAAGTCAAATTGGCCAAGGGACAAATATTAATGAGAGCCCGAAACAAATTTGAAACAACCCTCATCCAAATAAAGATTGAACTGACCATTGTAGACCATAAGATTCAGAGAATTGCAGACATTACAAAATTGTTAAATGAATAATAGAAAAAGTAAATTATTAACATTTAAGGGAAAGCTTATCTAGACAGGATGACTGCTAAGAGCAAACAGAATGTAAAAAAGAACTATTAGCCATTGCTAGTCATATAGCACAATTGGTCACAGCCAGCCTAGTATGATTGGCATCATTTGTTAACTCAGACGTATATATTCAACAGTAGTTTAACACAGTTTCAATATATATCTGCATGTATGGAAGGCGATCCGTGATAGTACTTCTCAAGAGACAAAACCAAACATCATTATATAAACATTCATCGCTGACCATATAGTATAAAACGAATATCTTAGTGAGAGCTTTACCTGTGGTAGCTTCTTATCATCATCTGAAAGCCCATCAATAGCATTTGTAAAGATTGCCTCCACAAGGTCTTTCTCGTCATCATTGTTTAAATCCATCTTTGACATCTATGGGGAAAATTGAGAGGCTTTAAGATCAATTTGAAACATCAAAGGACAAATGATAAGCAGATGACGATCTATTAGCCACACCATTTTAAACCAAAGATGTAGAGTAGTGTAATCCTAAGCCAGAGGGGAACATAGATAATTAAATGTCACAATCGTCAGACTACCTGTACAAGCAAATTAAACGAAGAAACAATATGGAAGAAATAAAAAGTTAATAGAATTTGACAACCATTCTAATTCCAGATCATCTTATAAGTATAAGATAGGCCACCCACATTAATATAAGAAACACAGAACCAATGTTTCTGCCAAAATTCCCCTTTTTCCAGCAGAAACAGAGAGCACGAAAATACTAAGCATTTCAGGATCCTTTTTGGCTCACAGAAACCAAACTCAAAACGTCAACCCATTAACATGAAAAAAATTGGTAAATATGATTAACTATATTTGCAATGAAAGTTATCTGCTAAATGAAAAATTCACCAGAAAAAAAGAACAAAACAGGAAAAACTAACCTGCATTGCAAGTGCCTCACATTCTTTCTTGCTGAAACTGAACAATATCACAGGATCATATTGACGCGTAATAATCATCTTTACCAATTTGAAGATGTCGCTTTCTTCACCAAGTTTGCCGACCACTAACCCCTTTTGAAGCTTTACATTCCCTCTTTTCTTGTCAGCCTCATTAGAAGGAATCAGGGCGTTTAAAGATTTTTGGAAGCTATCCTCATGGAATTTACCCTTTTCGTTGACCACCAAATAGAGGCCATTACCTCCGGCAGGAAAGACGTAGTGCTGAAGAGGTGTTGGCCGATAATCAGTGTAAACAATGTGACATGGTTGTCGGTGAACCTGCAATACCACGACCAAGTTATACCATATGCATTTCCTATTTCTAATTTCAAGTGGAAATATCATTAAAATGGAAACCTCAAGCAAGTTAGCACTAATATGAGTCATATTACCAGCTCACTTTGTAGATTCAACTTGAAGAAGTTTAAATCAGCAATAGACATGCATCAATCACACAGAAGAACAAAAGCACTACAGCCAAAATCATAAGTTGACATGAAGGAGAGATACACAATACATATTATTGATACATTAACACAAGAGAACAAAATCTAGAGGTGTTAGCAAGGGTAATCACCTTTGCAACCCAATCGGCAAATTCTTTGGCATTGGGCACAGTAGCTGATAGAAACACAAAACGGGAATTCTTCGGAGCCATTACAATGCTCTCTTCCCAAACCACTCCTCTCTCGCTATCACGCATGTAATGTACCTCGTCAAAGATGATCCATGCAACTTCCCTCATAATCTCTGACCCCTTATACTGCATGCTACGCAAGATCTCTGTCGTCATGACCTGAAACAAAGGTCACAGCTAAGAAAGACTAGCAAATAAAGCAATTTCAGTCCAATCAATTGCTACTGCTACTTACCAGGCAAGAAGCATTAGGCTCGATCGTCACATCCCCGGTCATCAAACCAACATCAGCAAACTCTTCTTTGAAATCTCTGAACTTTTGATTGCTAAGTGCCTTAATGGGCGACGTGTAAATAACCCTCTGCTTCTCCCTCAAAGACATGGCAATAGCATATGAAGCAACAACCGTTTTCCCAGCAGAAGTATGAGCCGAAACCTACATATTAACACGAATATCAGAAATTTCTTACTTTCATACAAATAACACAGTTCTTCTAAACCACACAGAAACCAGGAAACTAAAATCCTGAGTTCAATAGTTGCTCCTTGGAAATAACTAACCATCAAGATTTTCGCACTAAACAGATTACACAAAAGATAACTTTAGAGACCAAATCAATTATATAACTACACTAGCAGCTGAAAACTAAATGAATCACCACTAAAATAAATCTCCACACTTCGCTACTAAATCGTAGAAAATTTTGGAGCTTGAGCCGATTAGAAATCGCCCCAAAAACCCATCAAACAAGTTCGATTGAGCTTACCATTACTGACTCGCCATTATCGAGGCACTTAATAGATTCAGACTGAAAGGGGTCAAGAGTGAACGAGAACTCTTTCGCCGGTCTCTTATCTCCTGGACCGGTCGTCTTGATCGCCAGAGGAACGTAATTTTCCGGGTACGAGACATCGTGGATGCAACCCACCAACTCGGCGGTGACGGGAGAATCATCCTCTCTCTGCAGCTTCTGCGGCGGAGAAGAATCCGTCGGTTCTTCTGCCGATTTCCTCTTCATTGAACCCATGAAGAATCGTCAAAGCGCACAAAAAACCGTAATAAATAATAGATCGAACTCCGGCGACGATTCTCTATCTGAAAACTGCCGGAGAGTTCGACAGCACACAAACACGGAGAGGTGAGAGAGGAGGAAGAAAAAGGCGTCGCAGGTTTAGACAAGGAACAGCGGCTTAAATTATGCTTAGACGGTAATAAATAAAGGAAATAAGGGTAGAATTGTAAATTCAGAAAACAAACCAATGTAAGTCGTTTCCAACCGGGAAACCCTAGGAGGCCAGGACACGACTGGCACTCTTCTCTATCGCATCACGCACACTAATGCATAGTATCATTAGATAACGAAAATATTTTGAACACCAAATACAAAAATGTTTGGAGATTAAATTTAGCTGAATAATTTTGTGATTTATTATAAAATTTAGATTGAAGAAGAATATTGTATGTAACAATGTTATATCTTAAAATATTTTAAATATCGTAATTTTTTAAAAATATTTTATTCGAACAATTTACAATTAATAATATGAAAAAATCCATAAAAATTCTCCAATTTTTTAAAATCTACAAAAAAAAATTTCAATTAAAAATTTAACAAATATATTCCCCAATCCAATTTTTTTTACAAATGAATACCCAAAGAAAACGACGTCATCATATCGATAGTTTAATCTAACTTTTTTTTATAATCAGGATGGGTCTTCGGGACTTCGACCCGACTACATCCACCTTAGGTCCAGGATCATCCTTTGTATATGGACCATTTTAGTCCAAAAATTACATCCCTTCCCACTGTTGGGTTTCCTGGGATCTCATGAGCGAATCCTATTCCTAAGAGATCGGTTCTAGGGTTTGCGCAGCGGATGTAAAACAAAAATTTGATAAAACCCTAAAACATATCATGCATGATCTTGTAGAAACGTTAGAACACTTACCTCAATCGATCCGGGGCATGTACCAATCGAAGAACACGTCTGATCACTGTAGGCAGGAAGAATACCTCGCCCTCTACACGTATCCACACCTCGGGATGGATTCCAACCTTTGGAACTTGTCTGCTAGGACTCGAATCTTCTATTGGATGATGTGCTTTGAGAAAACGAGATGTAGATTACTTCTTCAACCCTCTAGACTCTCCAAAAAGGTCTGAAGAAGTTCTATTTTTCGGCTCAATAGTGTTAGGGTTATTTTTCTCCTCTTATCCAAGTGATTAACCCTAGATCCGGACTTTTAAAATTAAGTCGGAAACCCAGACCGAACGAACTGCTTAGTAGTCCGTTCGGTCTGGACACTTGGTCCTTTCGGATCAGTCTCATAACTAGGTCCATTCGGACCGACAGTTCAGTCCGTTCGGTCCAACACTTGGTCCGTTCGGACTGAACTCTCTAGTCCGTTCGGTCCAACAATTTGGTCCGTTCGGACTAGATGCTCCGGTCCGTTCGGTCTACTCCTAGACCGGACGGTTCGGACCTTTGTCCAGATTTCTCGATGTTTTTCTCGTGCATCTGTCCTTCCTTGCGTGTGTGACCCTGTAGGCTCATTCGATATAGCAGTATAACCCGAAATCTCTATTCCGGATATACAAATCATAGGCGGTCTCTAGCAAGACACTATGACTACCTATCTCGAATAGAGTTTGTTCGTGATCAGTGATGATTCCTTTTGATGATTCTTTTGTATCACTATATCATGTGTCGAATATAAGGTATGGACAAACCACCTTATCTGATTCGACTGCATTCTCGTTCACTGAGTTCGACTGTCTGAAATAGACGACATTCGTCTATAGTGCGGCCACACATTTCTACAGTCTCGCTCACTCGAGGGGCCCAGCGATATCTCTCTCTTTTACGAGAGGTACAAATCCCGTCTTGACTATCTACAATCCAGCACATGATTCGTTTCGTACCTGATACACGCCTTTATAGTCCTCCTGTTACGCAGGACGTTTGACGTATTCAAAGCACGAAACTCCATTCCGTAGATATCTCAGGTCTTAGGATCCAATCATGGAACCGTCATATGAGATTCAAGTCATGACGCTAGTCCATGTGACAATCTCATGCGGGTCAATCCAGTATTCTGTTCTCCAACGAATACCTATGACTGTGATCGTATCCAAATACTTATGATCATCTATATGATCATCAATCACACATCATACTAGTCTTATTATGTCATCATTCCCATAATGACACAAGACTAGGGAGTTAAGTATCATTCATAATGATACATGGATTTCATAACACATCTAGTATGCAAGAACATGTAATGAATCAAATACTCTAATAAACCATAGAAAGTATCAATACATCAAATGTATCTTAAGAAAGCTCATAAACAGTACATCATAGAGCACTAAACCAACACCCACCAGTGGAATCGAACCTAAGACCTTGAGGATGACTTTGTCACCTCTCAGCCATTGAGCCACCAACTGTTGGGTTAGTTTAATCTAACTTGACATGTCGTTTCGCCATGTTAGTGTACACATAGGTTGCCATGACAAATATTTTGAAACCGATTCGAGACTTCTTCACAATTCCTCATTTGGGACCTACGCTTGAAATCTCAATAATTCTACTATTACCTTTATTTATTTTTGTAAAGAGATCTTAATTCTCTTTTAAAAAAAATTATATTTCTTTTGCTTGATTTATACTCTGTTTTAATTTGGAAAACCAATTTCCATAATAATTATCTTTTGTTGATCTTAATTTAAATGAAAAAGTATCTGAAAATTCCTAAACTTGTAATTTGGTGTAATATTAATTCATTAACTTGTAGGTGCGTCTATTTATTTCCGAACTTGTATTTTTAAACACAGTAATTCGTGAACTTGCTTAACAGTTTCATAATCGTCCATACCACTAATTGACCAAAGCAAAGTTTAGGAATTATTGTATTCAAAAATGCAAGTTTAGAAATTATTGTATTCAAAAATGCAAGTTCAGAAATTATTGTATTAAAAAATACAAGTTCGGAAATAAATTGGCGCACCTACAAGTTCAGAAATTAACATTAAACCTAATTACAAGTTCTGGAATTTCCAGATAATTTTTTGCTAATTCAAAATATTCTGTTTTTCTTTCTTTCATTGTAATATATTGATTTATTTCATTAAGTATTCTATTAATTTGTTTTTTTCTATCATTCTATTCATTAATTGTGATTCATCTAATGTTTGGAGTGTTTTTGGACGTATTTCTTACAATTCGTAGATTTGATCTTATCAATTTTTGATACGTGATGTTGTTATACCATATCCACGCGGCAAAATATAAAAAATAAGCTTGATTCCAAATTGGATGCTATTAGTGTATGTATGCTACCGTGTATATATGCTATTTTTTTGAGACATTTTTTTAATCGTTCTAAGATTTGTTCTTTGTTAATAATTTGTATAATATCTTGTAGTTTGTTCGGACTTAAAGACCTCAGAAGATCGAAATTTTTAAACCAATCTCTTAGTGAGATTTTTGGAGAGAATTCTGAAAATTTTTAAAAAAAGAAGTTTTTTTTTATTTCACTCTGCCTATTTCAAATGGAGAAGACGTTAATTTATTTATAAAACTTTGGAACCCTATCAGCTAAGATAAGAATTTTGAACTGGGGCCCAATCTTAATGCATTACACTACATAAATGGACATTATAGATTACATGGATAAGATTTTTAGATAACCTTATCTTTATTAGGGGCCTATAATAATTTTATACGATCCCATTTGTTGGTTATAGTGTTCTAGGATAATTCGTGATATGACATTTACTTTTTATATTGATTCATTGATTTATGAATACATTACGTTCCCGTTATACGATTTGCATGTTTATTATATATCGGTATCATTGAGTCATTGGAGATGATTCTAAATTCCATGGTCGATATAATCGTATATTGGGGACCAGTAACAAAATCCAACAACATTATCTTTAGTGTAGGGCCAACAATGTCGTCCTTTTATGCTTTGGCAGATTCGTCTGCATCTTTTTTTATTTTGTCATTTAATTACTATCTTGTGGATATTGCATTTACGGTCATCATATCTCATTAGGAAGCTAGGTGTTGAAATAGGATAATGAATATGTGATTGAATGAAATATTGATTTTAAGATATGATTAGAAATAATAATGGATATAATATTGTTGGTTTAGTGCTCTATGATGTACTGTTATGCAAGCTTTGTTTAGATACATTTGATGTATTGACACTTTCGGTCTATTATGGATGGATGAGTGTTTTATTCATTACATATTGTGCATACTTATGTGTTATGAAATCCATGTATTGTTATGAACAATACTAAACTCCCTAGTCATGTATCATTGTGAGAATAATGATATACTAAGACTAGTATGATGTGTGATTGATGATTATATAGATGATCATAGGTATTGGATACGATCACAATCATAGGTATTCGTTGGAGAACGGAATACTGGATTGACCCGCATGAGATTGTCACATGGACTAACGTCATGACTTGAATCTCATATGGCGGTTCCATGATTGGATCCTAAGACCTGAGATATCTACGGAATCCAACATGAGGAGTTGCGTGCTTTGAATACGTCAAACGTCCTGCGTAACAGGAGGACTATAAAGGCGTGTATCAGGTACGAAACGAATCATGTGTTGGATTGTAGATAGTCAAAATGGGATTTGTGCCTCTCATAAAAGAGAGAGATATCGCTGGGCCCCTCGTATGAGCGAGACTGTAGAAATGTGTGGCCGCACTATAGACGAACGTCGTCTATTTCAGACAATCGAACTCAGTGAACGAGAAAGCAGTCGAATCAGATAAGGTGGCTTGTCCATGTTATGTTCGACATATGATATCGCGATACAAAAGGATCATCAACCGGAATTATCACTGGCGTTCATAAGATCACGAACAAACTCTATTCGAGGTAGGTAGCCATAGTGTCTTGCTAGAGACCGCCTATGACTTGTATATCCGGAATAGAGATTTCGGGTTATACTGCTATATCGAATGAGCCTACAGGGTCACACACGCAGGGAAGGACGAAACGCACGGGAAAACGACGGAAAAACCAAGACGGAAGGGTCTGGAACGGACAGACCAAAAGTTCGCTGACGGTCTGCCAGGTCCAGACCCGACGGTCCGTCGACAGTTCAGACCGTCCG